GGCCTTCTGCTTGGCTTCTTCGGCCTCCTGGAGGAACTTCTCTTGCTCTTCATGTTCCTGGAGGCATCGCCCATGGTTCTGCATAACTGTTGAGTACACCTCTCGAGAAATGATGGTCTCTATGTCGGGGTCATTTTCTGAGAGTGTCTGCGCAGGATTGAAAATCCTTTCACCTTTGCTTCCTTCTTGCTTGAGTCGCCGTTGCAGCTGTCTGCTTTTACTTTTATACCGCAGTAGCTGGACAGGAGACAGAACGTTGGCAGGTGCGTGCTCCTGCCTGAGGCATGGATAGTGCGAGGCTCTTCAGGTGTCACCTGGACTGTTGAAGATTCAGCTGCTTCCTTCTGTTGTGTCTGTCGGACGTCGAGATCTGTCGCGTCTATAGTTCTGTATCGACGGCCTGGGATGAGCGAACTTTGAATGGGCGTGGAGTTTCTCAGGAGCATTACACAAGGCCCAGAACAGCCAGAACGTCGTATGTGCAGCCCCTTCATTTTCGCCCTTTTCCTATCACTGAGCCTGGATAAGGAAACCCCCAATGTAAAGGGCAGAGGGATACTACATGATAGTACTGGGCGACCCAGTAGTGAGACTCTTCGGTGCTTAAGTAGGGCGCCGGAATGACGTCGGCTTCATCGCAGGCCGCGGCGGTTGCATCCTGCTTCACACACACACACACACCGCATCAAAGCAGCAATGTCGAATGGGGCTGAACTCCTACAGTTCGGGGCAACAGAATTGAGATCATAGGGCACGGAAAATGGCGGGCTGCAGATGGCTATGACACCTCGACATGGGGCTCTGATCCAGGTCACCGTTTGGCTTGACACCTTGAGGAAATCAAACTGAACCGAAAAGTGAACCCGACACCGTGAAACCCCACAGCCGAAAACACCAAACCCATGACCCTGAGCGCTGAAACCAACTTCAACAAACCCCCTTCACGTTGAGACCCACAGAGCAAAAATAAGAGGTTCTTCATGGCCTGTTCTTCCAGGCTCTTGTCGCTGGAATCTGCATTATCGTCGTTCGCACTTGTGCCAGACACCGTCGCGATGCGGGCTTGAATCTGGCTCTGAAACCGGACTTTATCACCAGAGAAGCAGAAGAGATGTGGCTTGCTCTGCCTGGGCGGAGGCAGTTCTCTCTCGACGGTCACAAGGGATTCCTTGAGGTCCCACAAGCCGCATTCGTAGTGGAAAATTCACCTAGTAGGATTCGTTGACATCTGTTCAACGGCAGGCTATCAAGCTCAGGTACAAGTAGCTCTTGGTCGTGTAGGTCTCGGGAAGCTTTGGACATTTCTCCTTCAGCTGCAAAGGATCCGCAGCCCCTGAGAGTTCGTGCAGGGCCCAGCCGAGGTCCATGTCGAAAACCGTCGGCATGTACTCAGGGCCGCGGGCAGCGGCTGCAGCGAAACCGAGACTCGGGAAACGGGTCCACTTGCAATCCTGGGCGGTTGTTTCAAGAAAAATGCTGCGTTGCACGAGTAACGGGCCTTGTAGTGTAGTTTCACCACCGCGACCAAACCAGAAACAAGCAAGTGATTTAATTGTCCCTCGCATGCAGAAAAACGGGCAGGCCAGAAGCTTTTGAAGCTTGACGCAGTCATGTATGATGCCCCGACTGAAACCCCTCCCAGAAATCGAAGCACTGTTGACATTGCTCCGAAGCTTCAGGCAGCCGGGACTCGTGCAGAGAATCTGCCCCATCGCCGTCATCGCCTGGGTTCTGACGCTCGGACTGGGCGGAGAGGGTTTTGGGGTAGAGCGCATTTTGGAGCTGGTGGGGATGTGGCATAAGGAGGATCGATAGGATGTGCTTAAATTAGTGGGCGCATCGATTCCGTATCATCTGCTTAGGATTATGCAGCCTGGCTTATTCGTGTTCATGTCGATTTTTGGGACTAGGATGACATATGTCTACAATTGTCTTCACCTCAACATCCAGCCCGAAACCCCGGACTCCTAAACCCTGAACCCTAACTGGATCTTTGGAAAGGTGTGCTTTTGTTGTGCGCCTTTTCGTGTTTCGGTGTCAGAACATGACCTGTCTTTTTGTTTTTGCCTTGCAGCAGTTTCTTAGTTCTGGAAGCTTCTTGCATTGAAAGAGGAGTCAAAAGGGACGAAACCAGCAACTGCAACGGTTGGCCGGGCTTGCGTGACCTCGACTTATGTCTCGGATCGAATGCACTGCCTGAGGGTTTAGGGTTCCGGGTTTAGGGTTCCGGGTTTAGGGTTTAGGCCTGAGGGTTTAGGGTTCAGGGTAGGGTTTGGGGCTCAGGGGGGGTAGGGCGAAGCCCTGAAACCTAAACTCCAAAGTTAGCATACACTCTTCGGCCGAAACAGGCTGGGACCCATCACTGCACCCTAAACCCTAAACCCTAAACCCCTAAACCCTAAACCCTAAACCCTGAACCCCTCAACCCTAAACCCTAAACCCTGAACCCCTCAACCCTAAACCCTAAACCCTATATAAACCCCACCCCCGAAGAT